TTTAGATTATTTAAATTATTTTACTTAGTTTACTAAGTTTATCTAAATATAGTAGTCTAAGTAAAATACAAAAAATAAAGTTAAAAGTGCTATAAATTTTAAATAGCTAATTAAGACTTATGTTATACTTTTATACTATTTTTAGTAAATAGTCATTACTAGATTACTATAGTAATTACTATAGTAAACGGCAACCCTGTAGTAAGGTAACTAAGTTGCTTTAGTTCTCTAGTAAATAAAAAGAGATATTCTCACCCTTTATATTAAAAAGAATATTAGATATACTACTATATCTAAGGCTGTGCTTTAAAGATAAGAATAACTATAACCTTCTAAATAGTAAATAAAGAGCAAGACTATATACCTGCTAGTAATTATTATAATTACTAGTTTTTACTAGTTATTAAAATAGCTATTTACAAGCGAGGAGGTGGAGAAGACGGTTTAGAATCTTAAGAAGTATGAGAATACTTTCAGCCTTGCGCTCTAAGTTGATCAGACGTAAGCCTTTACACTTATAATCATCGTGCATAGATGCAGCGTCTGACTGCTCACACAGAGTGCTTGTGGTTGATATAAGCCAGAAGCTAGACTTGACCAAACTGCCTGTCGCAACAGGCGCTTCCTTCAACTCGCACACGGAAGAACACAACGCACAATGTCTGCCAAACACCCACCAAGATGCGGAAGATGATTACAGAATGGCCAAACAACAAGGATAGTAAACCTATCTTCTGGTTGTGCAGGATAGCTGGCACAGGGAAGTCAACAATCGCGTGGACTGTTGCCAATTGTTTGCCGAAGCCAGTCAGCTAGGAGCGAGCTTCTTCTTTAAAAAGGGCGAGGGCAAGCGTGGAAACGCCTCCCGGTTTTCCGTACCATTGCTGCTGACCTAGTCGCTCGTGAACTAGGCATGCTACCGGGCATCAGGAAAGCACTCAACGAAGATTCACCATTGTCAAAGAGGGCACTAAGGAATTAGTTTAAGAAACTTATCCTGCATCCGCTCTTAGGGGTTACAACAAACACACTTGAATATTCTTGCATGGGTTGTCGTCATCGACGCATTAGACGAATGTGAGAGGGAAGAAGACATATGAGCTATACTCCAGCATTTTACTCGGGCCAAGGACATGCAGCCCGTATCGTTGCGAGTGTTAGTGACGAGCAGGCCAGAGCTCCATATTCGGCTTGGCTTTAAGCAGATGCCTAACGGAACATACCAAGAGCTCGTCCTTTATAAAGTCACAAGGAACACTAACTTAGTATGCTCCAACTAAATTGATTTTATCTCTACCTGTTGGTCTAATCAGTTCTACGCCATGCATCCTTACACAAGGTAAAACAGGCAGTTAAATCAGTCACGATTCTTCCAAATAACCATTCCGCATACAGTCGCTTTCCTAGATAGAGTGAGTAGCTGCGACGCAAAGAGGCTGTGTAGCTTCAAAAGGATATTTTGATGATTCGGGAACGTCTCAGATGAACGGCTCGCGGGTAGAACATCTGCTTCGGCTATGCTGCCTTAATAGAGCAGCGTACGTGCGAATGTCGATGGTCTCCTTACCGCTCCCGTCTCGTATACGGTTGAGATTGAGATGTGAGTTGCCACAACACTAAAGTGCAGCGGGGCATATCAGACCAATCCTAATCGATCGCTGCCTCCCAGGTCGGCTCCCGACGCCCGTTGGGACGGGAGACTGTTGATCCCGGCGCCTATCGGCACAGGGCGAAAGTATGCTTCCGTTGCCCTGCACAGCCTCTTGTATTTTTACTACCCAAGGCACTCTTGAGCCGGGGTCGAGGATCCCGTCCAAGGGCCCTTCGCTGGCTGGCGCTCCGCTCATCCCATCTGGCAACTGCAAAGGCCGTTCTACGCTTGCTGTGGGTCCGAACATAGCTCTACCCTATATACTAGCTTCTGAGTAAAATATGATTTCGCCCGTCGGATGCACATGTCGCCATTCAGCCCCAACCGTGTACACATCCGCAGGCTGACATCGCTCCGCTTTCTCGTACGGAGCTCAAGCCACTGTTTTGACGCCTGGCGCGTAGATCTCCTGAAACGTCCCGCCCCACACATATTATAATCGCCAGTGCCCCCTCAACTCATCCTAGGTCCGCATACGATGGCTGATGAACGGGACAAGACGTGGAACCAAAGCGACTACGTTCGAATTTCCTCTCGCGACATAGGATGGGATACCGGAGGTCGCTCAGTACCAAATCCGTTCATTGACACAGACTCGCTCAACGAACACAGAAGCCCAACACCTGCAGGTGATTCACATCAAGAATTGTCAGATCTTACAAATCGTCGCTCGCGAAGCTTCCCGAAAGCACAAGATGAGACAACCAGCGCAGTGGATAGAGATATACCTACTATATACTCTCGAAAGTCGAACAAGATTCAAATACAATGGTGCACTAATTTCGGCTGGTGGGGAGAAGTAGCGTCATTATCGCTAGGCATCTTTTCAGTGGTGAGCATTCTGCATATGCTTTCGACTATCGACAACAAACCACTCTCAGACTGGAAATACATGGAGCCTAATTCTTTGGCCGCCGCATACTCGACCATCATAAAGGCCTCTATTCTCTATCCAGTTGCACAGTGCATTGGCCAACTCAAGTGGATCTACTTTGAGAATCCGAAACAGTTGAGCCTTTTGCAAACCTTTGACGATGCCAGCAGGAGTCCCTGGGGGGCGGCGGTGTTGCTTTGGAAGACAAAAGGTACCGCGTTGGTGGCCTCTACTGGTGCACTCATAACAATAACCATCCTCGCTTTCGATCTATTCACCCAGAGATCGATCTCATTCACAACACGCTCCTCTGTTCTGCGTAACGAGACAGGCTATCTAACGAATACACAAGCCTGGCTCGACCCATCCAGTATGCTACCGATAATGCAAAATGATAGCATTGTTCCGGTTTCTATTCAGGGATTGGGTGAGTAGACCTCTCGATGGAAATGGCAATCGCATCAGACCGTTCATACTGATAAATATTGTAGCTTACTACCCGTTATCGCAGTCAATGCTTGCGATCATGTCCGATCAACCCTTCGAACTTACCAATGCGAAGTGCCCTGCCCCCCATTGCAAAGCTCCTGATTACGAATCTCTTGCTGTTTGTGCAACATGTGATACACAAACAATAAGCAGCGAATCATTCAGTAGTTGCAGTTATAATCTGAAAGGCAGTGGAAAAGATCAGAACTTCACAAGTATAAACAATCTCCGCACCCGTTTAAAGGAGATTGGCAACAACTCAGACCTCAACATCACAGGCCGTTGCGGAATGGTGGTAGAAAAAACCCCAGACCCACTACTTTACGGCCATGACGCAAATTTGACTATCCAGTGGTATTTCTTTAACGGGCTCATAGGGTTCACTCACATAGAGAGCGCCTCGAACGGCAGTAAACCTCAGGGTGAAATATTAGGACCGGCTATAGGTTTTCAAACGAGCCAACTACAATCATGTAACAGCGAAACGAATTGGGGAGTTCTTCATGGCCAAGCCACTTTAGATCGGAAGGAGGGGAATTATAGCTCTACGTCTTTGCAAACATATCATTGTTTCAATTCTACCACCGACCTGATGCTCTGGAACGACGTTTCGAAGATTGGCGAAATCAACGGCACGTCTACGCGCTGTCGTCTGAATCTCTGTGCCCAGCAGTACAGAGACGTCCGGATCTCGCTTAATCGGTCCCACTCCCAGACTACAAACAAGATATTGAAGCGCAAAAGCCGCGACCAAACCCGGTCCAGATATTCTACGGAAGATAACCCCTCGGTGGAGTACCTTATCGACGAGGGAGCTCGAAAGAGTCTCATCGACATAACCACAGATATCTGGAAGAACAAACTCTTAACAACCACGCTATCCATGGGCGGGGAGCGGATCAATCCAGGAAACTGGACGAACCGCTTCAATCGACTAGCAGCCGCCCTATCAACAGTCATCCAAGGGCCGTCAAACCCCGATGCGAAGAATTTCACCATTGAAGCGTACGGAGATGTCATCTATGTCGAGGTTCGGTGGTGTTGGATGATTCTACCACTATCAACCACTATTCTTACCGTCATATTTTTCGCGTCGACGGTCATTAGAAGTACCCGAAAACCGTATCTATTCAAGTCGTCTATCTTGGCTTTGCTCATTCATGGCCTTGAGGGCTGGGATGTGTCGAGTGGTGAGGAACGATTTGATAGCACACGAGTGACTGAATCTAAGCTGCTGGTACAGGCGGAATCGATAACAGCAACGCTCCAGCGGAACGAAGGAGGGATTTGGAAATTGAGGACGGAGTAGAACTAAAAATTAATCATCTTCTAAGAGGCGCGAAGGAGATTAATAAGATGGATCGGATTATCTAGTCAAGAGGCTTTGAGGGCCGAAGGATCTTATGGCTGCAACTAGAATGGGAGGCTGGTACAAGAATGTACTATCTGTAACGAGGTAGGCACGGTCAACCATGTGGCCTTCTCTCGCTTATAGAGGTTTAGGCTAGACTAGAGACAACCGCTAGTGCTAGTGCTAGCCCTAGCATTATCTATATATATATTATACTATGCGAGAATACTTGGCTTAAGTATTCTCGTGCGTACCTTTTGGTACAGTGGGGAAAGTCGTATAGTATCGGCTTGGCAGGCGGGGCGCCTACCTCATTACAGTATCTAGTGGGTAATGGGTAGTATGGAGTACTAAAAGTGTATTCCTAGCTGTAGAGAGAGTAAACAGAAAGACAGTAGATGCTTGAAAAGAGTAGGCTAAAGCCATTTTACAACTACAGCGGATTGTAGAGCCCTCTAATGGGATTTACTTTTTAATAAAACATACTTTTATAAAAATAAAAGTAATAAAGTAATTTTTTTAAAAAAAAAAAGCTTTTAAAATTTTTAAAATTTTTAATAAGTAAAGTAAAATTTATTATATAAAAAAATCTTTTAAGCTTTTACTTTAAAAGTTAAATAAGTAGTAAAGAAATATACTAATTTAAAAGCTCTAAAAATATAAGCTTAAAAGTGTGAAAGCTAAAGTAGGTAAGGCACTTTTTAAGTGTGTGTATAATAAAAAGAGCTAGGGACTAGCAACACACATAATCTAAAAAATATAAAGGTAAGATTCTAATAACTTAAGTAAGCCTAGAGGTGTAGAAAGCAGAAGCGTATATATAACACTTTTTAAAAAAAGTAGTAGATGCATTACTTTAGTTAATTTAAAGCACTTTTAAATAAACTTTTTTAAAGCATTTATTACTTATAATAATAAAGTGCTTAAAACACTTTATATAGTGTTTTTTATAGCTATTTTTTTTAGGTAGCTTTAACTAAGAGATTATAAGCTTCTAAAGAAACTCTTAAAATAAAAAGATTTATATAAACACTTATATAAATTTATTTTTAAAATTATAGTATAAAAAGAGATAGCCACTCTACTTAAAAAAAGCATTTAAAAAGAGATTATATAAACTAAAGTAATGTCTAAGCTACTTTTACTAAAGTAAGTATCTATATATAAATTTAACTAAAATAAGTATCTTGCTAAATATAAAGCTTATATTTATGTACATAGTAATCTTTAAAGTACAAACTTGCTCTAGTTAACTTATACTGCTACTTTTACAGCTAAATTATTTTAAATAGTAATTATAATAGCAGCTTAATTTAACCTAGAGATTAAGTAATATAATGTTATAAGCATATTTTTAAACACACACTATAAAGGTAAGCTAGAAGTAACATGTAAGTTTCTAGGAAGCTTTATAAAGCCTAGCATATGTATTAAGCTTCTTTAAGCTCTATATAGACTGTGTAACTTACTAATTCTATAGTACTAGAAGCTTTTATAAGCTTTTAGAAGCTAAAGCTTATTTTATGTAAAAAGAAACTATACTTATTTTTTAACTATAATTACTATATTTTATTTATATAGACAATATACTTTATATTTATTACTATAATAATAAGTTAAAAGCTTGCTAATTAATTAATATAATTAAAAAAATATATAAGCTAGAAAATTAAAAGCTATGTAAATAGTTTCTAAAGATTAAAATAATTAAAAATAAAAAGGCTAAAATAATCTAGCTAGTATATAACATGTATATTAAAAAAGTAGTAACTGTCTGTACGTAGCAACAGCGTTACAGTCTAGATAGTTATCGCGCGAGAGAAGGATTATGTAGCTATGTCACATGATGCTCGTGCGCGAACATCTAGATATTCTCCTTTTCCTCTGTACAGAGGAAAGACAGAGCAATATAGAACTAGAAACATGTTGCTCCCACCCTACCTACTTTGTACACTGTGCACACTGTACACTACTCTTACTCTTACTACTTAAGTGCTTATACTATCAGTGTGATGACAAGCACTGTCTCTACTACTGTATAGAGCTGGGGAAGCAAGGCAGAGTAGGTCGGCTCTATTTCAGCTACACTAAGATAGAGAGGAGAAAGGGAGCTTTAAGGGCAGCTCTGCAGAAGAAGTGCTCACAGCGCTAAGGCGCTAGCAAAGACGCTAGCGCTAAGTAAACTAATAGCGTTGCGCTAGTCACACCCCCTATATCCTAATTAGCTGCACAGGCAGCTTGTCATGTAAAGCGCGACAGAGCTCTCTGCGTAGGACTGTTACATTACCCCCTTCTAAGGCAGTCTTATCTCTAAGACTAGGTAGTTTAGCGCTTTTATGTTAGTTTTTAAACTAGTTAAAACCTTAGCGCAGGTTAATTATTAACTTTTATAAGTTCTATATTTTTGCTTTTTTTATACGCTTGCAACTAGGCGTCTAGTCGCGCTGGCGGACTAGGCTTAGTAGGATATGCTTAGTAGAAGTCCCTTACCTTATGCAGAGCTCTAAGGAATCTGTTAGCATTATACTAGGTAGGGTTAGGATCATAGCCTACCTATAAGGCTTAGTATTAGAGACACCTGCAGTAGACACAACTATCTAGAATGTTCTAAACCTGCTACTTAGGGTAACTGTTAACCTTAATTAGCTCCTCTAAAGGCTTAACCTAACCTAGCAGCGTTGTAGGTGCTGCCTGCTGTAGGCAGTCTGCATGGAAGACATTGTGCATTCTTATGTACAGGAGGAGCTTAAGCTAGTACAAATAACCTCTTATGCCTATAATTAGATAAGGCCTGTACATCTGCTAGTTAAGCTTCTAGCTAGGGCGCTCTATAGTAAAGCTCTTAAGGGTCACATATACTTTATTGCCTACTATAAAGTTAAGCTTATGCTACTTTTTATTTACCTAAGCTGCTTACTGCTTTTAGGCTTAAGTAATGCCTTTTCTTATAATCTTAATTACTTATTATATAGTGTTATAGTAGAGCTTAGTATAGCTTTAAGCCTCCTTACATAAAATCTGCTCTAGCGTAGTTAGTAAGTGTCTTGTACGTGCTTTCTAGTTCTAGTAGTGTATTAGATAATAGCTAAACTTAATCTTAAACAGTAATAACCCTGTTGTCTTATATAGTAGAAATGCTTAAGCCTAGTCTATATAGGGCAGCAGGTCTAACTAGTTGTCTTAGAAGTAATTAATAAATAGACATAGTTACTAGTTAATATACTAATTTAGCACCTTTATATTGCTATTAGTCTAGAGATAGTAAGGCATAAAAAGCTTTTATTTAACACTAGTAAAGCAGTAAAGCTTATTTATAAATGCAGAGGTAAATTATAGTCTACAGTTAAAGACAATTAATTAAGGGGGTCTATAGACGCGCTAGATATAGTAATAGTATAGGTCTGCAGCCCCTACAGCAGTAATAGTCTTATAGTACAGCAGTAAGAAGCAGCGCTTGCTTAAACAGTCTACTATAATAAATGTGTTATTATAGCTAGCTTAATTAAGTAAAAATAACTTAAAATTTATAAAAATATTTTACTATGCTTACTTAAGTATTAGTAGTAGCTTAAGAAGCCTTAGAGTCTTATCTTAAAAGATATAGCTCTACTAACAGGCCTTATAAGCGCTAATGTAGGTTTTAATATTCTAGCTTATGCTTAGCTAGTAGTACTACTTGTGCAGCAGCTTAGTTGTTTTTCTAGTCCTAGAATGTGCAGTAAGTTGCGTTGCGTAAACAGCGCAAATAAGGTAGGTCTTTAAGAACTAGATAGCTAGGACTATAAGCTTCTCTTTCTTTAGTAGTAGGCCCTTAGCATTAAGCTTTTATTATAAGCTAGAATCCTGCGCTTTATTATAGCAGTATTATAAGCTTTTATAATTTTAATTAGTATTTAGGATCTAATTAATAAGCTTATATAGTTAATTTATTAGTAGCAGCTTTATAAGCTTCTTATTTAGCAAAAAGATGCTTTACAGGGCAGTGTGTAATTAAGTAACAAGACTAACACTAATTTACTCTTAGCTTAAAAAAAAGTGTGTATAAGTAGCTTTATTTTTTTCTTTTTATGTCTTAAGCTTCTTTTACTTCTTTAACAGCGCGTCTGTAACAACATTAGCAGTGCCTAGGCAGTAGGTTAGTGTAAGGTTAAAGTCTACTATTAGTATAGCCTATTGCATCTAGTAAAGAGTAAGCTTACACTTAATAGTAAAGTACTTAAAAGCTTAGTAGTTAGTAATTACTATAAATAGCTTATTTTATTATAAGCTTATTAGCTATGCTTACTACTTTTATAAGCCTTAGATAACTATAAGCATTTTTTTATTATATATATTATAGTTTATCTGCAGTAGGCTTATAGTCTTAGAGTAGAACGCTACAGGGCGCTAGATGCTGTTATCCTGCAGCTGTAATAGTACTTCTATAATAACTCTGTTGCTTATGTTAGTCTTTATACACATCTTATAATTTAGTAAGTAGTGTGTAAGGATGTTATTTAATAGCATAAAGTTTTTAGCGCGCTTAAACATAGCTAACTTATGCTCTTCTAAAGAATGCTAGGCGCTACACTTAAGCAGCTTTATAAGTAGCTGTATAATGCAACTATAGTCTTTAAAGAAGGCGCAGTAGAAGTTACAGAACCCTAGAAACAACTGCAGGCTCTTAATTAAAGTTAGTATAGGCTAGTCTTAGACAGCAGCTACCTTAGTAGGGTCCTTGTAGATTTTATTTATGCTAATAATAAAACTTAGAAATTTTATTTTAGTAACTATAAATTTACTTTTTTTAAAGTTAATCTACAGGCTAGTGTTTTATAAATAATGTAGAACCTTAGTAATATATGCCTTATGCTGTAAAAAGTTGTCTAAGTAGATTAAAATGTTATTAAAGTAGGCTATATAAAAGTTATTAAGTAAGCTATATAGAACCTAATTAATATATTACTAAAAGGTTATAGGGCTGTTATAGAGTCTAAAAGGTAGCATGTAATACTTATAGTTACTATAGTGTGTTTAGAAGGTAGTTAGGTCCTTAACCTTTTTAGTAAGCTAGATGTAATAGAACACCTATTATACATTAAGCTTAGTAAAGACCTTAGCTGCAGCTAGCTGCGTAAGCGTCTTCTAGATTAGAGGTATTAAGTAAGTGTTCTTTTTTATAATTATATTAAGCTTATAATAGTCTACATAAAACCTCTACTCTCTTTCTAGCTTTTTAGTAAACAAGACTAGAGAAGCGTAGCTAGTGTTGCTGTGCGTGATAAATCTGCGTCACAGGTAGTTGTCTAGATAGTCCTTAACTAGCCTAAGCTGCTCTAGAGACATGCTGTATAGCAGGCTGCTTAATAAAGTGTTCTCTGCTATTAGCTTAATATTATAGTTAACGCTAGGTTAGTGCAGCAGCAGTTTGTCTAAGTCTCTTTTTAAAAAGTAAGCTAGCAT